TAAAGGACACAAAAGAATGGGCCGGGTCTCAGAGGTTAAAGTCTTTAAAACACATATTCATAATGTACAAATTATGTCCATGTTGATGTTGCTAGCTGATTAATTTTATGTAATGTTGTGGAGTCATAAAGCTTTGCAAAGGCTTTCTCTTGAGCTCTTACGTTGATTCATCAGACATAATATTTATTGTACATGACATGCTTACTTAACAATGTGGGAACACTTTCATTGTGGGACCACATGAGTCACTTTAGTGGTAATTGGCATGTTAGTTAGTGGTTATTAAGGTATTATGAAATTCATTTTTGGATAACAGGTTAGATAATCTCCAAAAACATGTAATTAAGTATTGACTATTAATTGAAAAATACGTAATGGCTAAATTGTTGTTCAGTACAATTACAATGAATAAAACCTTAAACGACCCATAAAATGCTATTTACTGAGCTCTGTTATGATGTTGTTTCCTCATCACAAACATACCTGGAGTGGTGTTTTGTTTCTTTCGCACCTGTTAAGAGACGCACCCTGCAAACAGAAAACACTCTGTTCCATCTTGTCACGTCGTAATACAGGAAGTGCTCCACTCTGTTTTTAAACTCCATACACCTTCTCTAGAATTATATGGATAATTTCAGACCTGGAATTGCCGATCTCTTCCGAAAAAAAAGGTAAAAGGTAGCTGTTAACATGAAAATTGCTACCACATGACATCACAAGGTGGAACAGAGCATTTTGAGCTTTGAGATGAAAACAGATTAATAATAAAGGATTACGTAAACATCTGCGATTGAAACAAAACACAACTCCGGGTAAGGCTGTACAATTAAACAAATTTTGATTGCAATTTTGATTTGTGTGTCAAACATTCTCCAAACTCATATAATCAAGTTGAAACTGTTTAAATAAGTTTATTTTGGGATATTTTTTATATAACTAAGTAAATTTATTTTATTTTTTTAAATATAGAGATTATAAGGACAAATGGATATATAGTTTATTTTGGATACATTGATGTTTTTCTATGCCTTATTTCTAGGGTTGTAACAATAACCAAAATATCATGATATTGTATCGTCAAAAGTCTCGCAATATATCGTGGGCCATCATTACATATCGAATCACAAGTCTCTTTGCTTAAGTTATTGTTACGGTGCAGCAATAGCTAAAAAAACAGAGGGAACTACATCGACCATGATCCTTTGCTCCGTTTTGGTGCAAACTATATGAAGAAAGAGCAGTTCTAAGCACTTTTAAATCTTAGTTCTTTGGATTAAGTCTTGTCAAGGCATTTTAAGAGGAAAAAATAGCATATTAACAGTTTTGTTAGCCTCCACAAAATATCTCAATAAATATCGTACTGTGAGATGTATATTGTGAGATTTGGATACCGTTACATTCGTACTTATTTCATGATCAAGGTATATTATATTCATTTTATGTTTTATACATCGCAAAACTGCTCTAAGGTACATACTTGTAGCCTATATTTATTTTTTATTTGAAAGTTTTGCATAAAATATTAATAACAAAGTGTTTTTTGTTTTGTTTTTGTTAGAGAGAGAAAAATGCTGAATAAATGCATCGTGTAACTAAAAAATTATTGTTTGAATAACTGTGACTTCAACATTGAACAAAATAATCGTGATAATCATTTTTTCCATAATCGAGCAGCTCCAGGTATATTTGTGATGAGGAAGCAGCAACAGTCTATTACGGCTTAAAGCTCACAAGAGTCAATTTTCCGTAACATAGGACCTTTAATAAGCACGTCATAAACACTAAAGATCTAATTAACTGCTTGCTAATTAACTACTTGCCTATAGCTACTAGTTAGTCATTATTAAGTAGTCCCTAAACTCAAATGCCACCAAACATTCACCTGTCATGTTACATAACAAATGCTGCGATGTTAAATGCAGGTGTAACATATGTGTGAAAAGGTCTGAAAGCGGCTGTGGCGAGATGAAAGGAGACTGGATCTAAAATGCGCTCTTAAACCCAATAGGGCGACACTAGCCCTGGGCAAAGACCTCTGCTGTCTCCCCGCCTCATACACAGGCAGTGGGCAGACAGAGACGCTCATTGTTATTCTGCGCACACTTGTGGTCACAGACAGGACCGGGCAGGCGCACACACACACAAAACACAACACACACGCACACACACATAAAGCTTGTGATGTTGTGGGCTCCTGACACGTTACAAATGCTAAATACCATAGCAGATTAAGAAGTACAAAAGCAAAGGGGGGTAGAGGGGCTGTGATTTGCATGGACACAATCACACGTGCAGCTGCCAGCCCTGTGTAAACTCGTGCATTCCTTCAGTGCCAAGCCCACATCTGCCACCAGGGTTCTGCTCAAAGTGAGGGGGTAAGGTCTCCTCCTGGTACTGGCGAGACAAAAGCGAGGGAGTGTGGGACTGACATGACTGGTGCACTCCGTATGCTAATGTGAGGCAGACAAAACACCGGTGCGACGTCTCACTTAAAATCAGCAGACTCGTTACAAGTGCCTGTCTGAAGTCGAAGCTGGAGTTTATGACGGGCGCTCGTTGGCAGCATATCTTATCTCTTAGGCGTTTGTTTGTGTCTCGTGTTCAGCTGTTTCTATGTATCGCCGCGGATCACCACTAGAGGTCGCTGCAAATGCCAACACTCATTTTATATGAAGCTGTAAGAGCAGGAGGATTCAGTGAGATGGATTTTTACATCTCTGTGTAAGAAAAAAAGTTATAATTAACCGTCTTATTCAATCAGTTATTCACATAAATTCTTTTTGTATTTATCCAAGTTAAGTGGGGATTTGAAAAGCTGCTTACTGGAGTCAACAAGGCTTTTAATCACATGCTTCTAGCACACAAGGAGATGCCTGGTAATAGATTTTTTTTAAAGAGGTGATATATTCTGAGTTTGACAACGGCACTGAGCAAGCTAGCACCAGATCTGTCTAACAAATACAAAGCAACAAATATGTTTGATAAAAATGATTAAAAATGCACCAAGCAACTCATAGTGGAGGCTCTATCATCTAGGCCTGTTATGATAATTACTATATCTATATTCTGCATGATGTTTTTTGGAAAAATGGAGAGATTTGGAGTATTTATGTTGTTATACGAAACAAGAATAAGACTTGAGCTGTAGAGGGCTGAATAATTAACTTCTATGGCCAATTATTGGTTCATTCTGTTATTTATTTGCTGCAGCTCAGACCATTTTAGTGATAATGTTGTTTACTGGGATTATCTTGCATTATTGTTACTGTATTAGGGCCACAAAATACTTTAAATATTATCGTTTATCGCAATATCTCTCTGTACCAATATGTCATGCCTCAAAATGTGTGCTTATTGTGTTGCCTGGAATGTTCTGCAGTATAGCATTAAACGTGTATCTTTCATATTCACATACATGAAAGTAAGACCACTAGGCCAAGTTACAAGTCATATCTATGGAGAGGCGACACATGCTCAAAGTAAGAATGCATGTTTTTAAGGGTTTCTGAGCAATTAAAACGTTAAATGTGAAATAAGCAAGTTTAATGCCATGCTGGGGAACATTCTAGGCAGAGCAATTACATCTCCATGGAGACAAGCAGCTGGCAGACTCTCACATCAGAAAAGTTAAATAAATAAAGCACTAAAGACCCCGATAATATTATATTTCTCTCAATGAGCCTTAATACACACTTTAATGCCAAGACTAATGCATATAGATTAAACACTCAACATCAGATTGCATAACTTCACTATATAATGCTCCCCACTTGGCTCATTAGCTGGTACTTGCTCCACACTTCACCACTATATGGCACGTGTTACTACTACTCTACACAACATGCTTGCACACAGCGGGTCCCCCTGTTTGAGAGGATGTAAAGACACCCACAACACACACACACAGGCGACAACAACAACCGCAACACACACACACACACACACACAAGTGCCTGCAGCTGCCACCGTCTCCAAACAAGCCGATCCGCGTATACCCCCTCGCCAGCGCACTCGCCAACAAACAGCTTGGGTCTTCATCGGGCTGGGTTGGCACGGTGCCCTTAAACGTCGCGCCACAAAGGAGAGAAGGAAAACCCCAGACGAAAAGGACGAAAAAAAAGGACAAAAACATAAAATAAAAGAGCAGCAGACTAAATAATAAGAGGAGATACAAATGAGAAGCGATGGCGAGACGATTAGATGATTAAAAAGAAGAAACAAATACCTCGATTCGAAATAGTGCTCCTGAATGCTACATGCCTGTTCTCCAGATTGCCTGCTGGTCCAGATCTGTGTGTCTGTCTGCTGTCTAGTTGTCTGTCTTGTCATTTTGCACAAGCTTTTTTTTTTGTAATATTTGAAAACGGTTCTGTTTTCACTTTTTCATTCGTAAATGGCACTGTATCTGACATTAATTCGATAAAAAACGATGCGGAATTGATGGTGAAAGATGAAATGTACGCATGTGATCCAAACCAAACAGTTTTCGCAGCCATTTTGTCATAACATAAAAATCTAAAACGATAAACTTTTTCGAAAATGGATTTAAAAAAAAAACAAAAAACTGACCATTCATCCTGATCCCGGCCGAAGTGTAAGGGTGCGATCCAATTCTCAATGCCACCAGATTGGGATGCCATCATGCCTTGGCGCGACAACAATTGACTCCAGTCTCAACACCAAAACACAGAACGCACACACACACAGACACAAGTTGGAATCCTGCCATGTCTTTCTCTTAGTGAGTTAATGAGGCGAGAAATGCATGGCACAGTTTGGTTGCAGACAGCCAAAATAAAACCGCAATACGAGTGAAGTGAAAGTAGTTTTGAATTGTATTGTGTGGTCAATCTTACCTGAATTGTTGCGTATGAGCAGGTCGGAGGAGACGTTCGATGGATGCGTCACTGTAAAAGATGAGGACAACAAAGAAAACGGAAACAGGCATCTTGTATAAAGTGAGAATTGTAGCAGAAAAAAAAACTAAAATAGGCCAGAAATCGCTTGTGGGATTTTTTATTTCCTCCAAAACAGGAAAACATTTTTGGCAAATTATATCTACCCAGCATCTTGAGTTTTTTCTTTTTTTTGACATTTACAAAATAAAAATAATGTACAAACAAACAAAGGATTCATATTCGTTATCTGAATATTCACGCTTTTCAAGTCATTGCAAATCAATAATCTTAAGAATGCACCTGAGGCAAATAATTACAGTCCTCTTGTCAGACTTGACTTGAGTGGACCTTTCAGCAGGTTGTAATCATGTGCAAATTCACTTCTTTTCATTTCAGATTCTTCACATTTGTCACATTTTCATCTAGTTAAAAGTGCTTAGTCCCAGTGTGATGCAGCATAAGCTATATTACTGTATTACTATGTTAAGGCAGCACAAGAAATTAAGGCAAAAAAATAAAATAGGCACTTGTCAAAGAAAACAGAATTCAAGTATGTTTAAATCAGTTATATACTCTTTACTAAAGTTCTTCGCCTTTGCTTCTCCTCTTCTTTAACTTCATCTCATCATCAGGACTGTCGTGTCCCTTGTACTTTTTATGTTTCTTCTCGTGTTTTCTCCGTTCGCTCTTGGTGTGGTCGTATTCGTTTGCGCTGTAGAATGCAGTTTCTGAGTATTTGTGTCTTTCTCTCTCCTCTATTCTTTCATTACTCCCTCCTTCGCTCTTTTTCTCCGTGCTTAGACTCGACTGGGCGGTAGGTGTGGTCGGGCGTTGGCTTGTGCACGTCCAGTTTTGTCCAGAATTGCTTTCCGAAGATGTTTTGGGTGAGATTTGACCTTTGTCCCTACTGTGAGATTGAGAGTGCAGCGTGGTCGAGTTGTGGTGGACTTTTGGATCTTGTTGGCTACTGTGGTGGTAGGATCTTGATGAAGAACTTTTGTCACGGTTACCTCTCCACACTTTGTCTTGGTCAATATAGATTTTACGGGATGGGCCCTCTCTGCTCTTGTTTTCACCTGGCTCTCTATAGTTACTAGATTTCTTGTCATCTAAAATAGAGGTGAATGCCTGGCTCGAACCATTTGAGGATTTGCTATAAAAAGTGCCAGTGGTTTCCCTGTCTTTGTGGTGGCCGTGTTCTTCTCCCTTTCTGCCCTCACTCTCTGTCCTTCTCTTCCTCTTTCTGTCAAAATCAAAGTTGCTGTCAGGCACGTCTTGGCCACTAGAGGGCACAATGGCGCCATCTAAACTAGAACTGTTTACTGTCTCCTCTGCATTGTCTACTTCTACTGACCTTCTATGTTTTCTTCTTTTCTTTACCTCCCTGAGATCTGAGGAAACGTTTGCTTCCAGTTCTTTCTCCGATCCGTCTTTCTCCCGTCTGGAGTGGGTGACCTAAAATGAAAACAAAAGATAAAAACAAAAGAGGACTTAATACTGTGTACTATTATAACAGCAATCAGATTTAGATGAATAACTTAGCTGTACTTGTTTCATTGTTACTTGGTTTGAATTGTTTTTGCATTTCATACCCGATACCGGACGTTTGTCAGTGATTACGTAGGTAAATATGTGTTCAAACTTTTGCACACTTTCAGGTTTTTGTGTTTGCATAATCTCTGTACTAGTGGTATTGGGAGCTAACCACAATGCTTTCCAGACCAAACCACAATGATCACAACTTCAGATCAGACTATTTATACTTCAAATGTCTCAGTCATTTATCAGCTAATAACTCAACCATTTGATTTCCATAACTGAACTAACCATTTTATCTTGATTTTCCGCAAGGTGTGGAAAATTCTGTGTGTGCATTTGCTGCAAACCGTATTTACATAAAAAGAGATAAAAATGTTTTCTATCAAACATATTTTTTCCTTTACTGAGTCATAATTGACATACTTGTTAAAAATACTGTTTTTAAATTGTATCATTATGAGGGAACTGTACATTTCAGTACTATGTGCACTCTTGTCTCTTCTTGGTCTTTAAAGGTGCACTGTTTAACTTGAGGATTGCACCTTCAACGTTAGTACACCTTGTGAAGAAATGGTTTGTGTCCCTTCGGCATTAAAAAAGGACTGTGCACACCTTTACATGCTTCTCTACTGAGGTGTAGCCCATATATTTCTCCAGACACTTTGCTACTGTCTTTTGTTGTTCCTCACTGATGATCACACCTCCAGATGGGCCCACTGTTAAGCTGCATATAAATAAACAGAAATAAATCAAATAATAATAAACAAAACAATAACCAAAGAAAGTCAAACTCTTAAAGGCATGAAGGAACTATCAGAACACCTACCTGCCGTGGTCTTTAGTCACAGGTTGTCCCAAATCATGTTTCCTCTCAGAGTCTAGCAGATCTTCTTGGTCCTGAGATTTTCTGTACTCCTCCTCCTCCTTCTCTCTCCTCTCTTCCTCTTCTACGGATGTCAGAGCACAGTGCCACAAGTCTGAATCCTCTTCTCCAGCAGCCTCATCTTCTGGAAAGATCTCCCACGAGTTGTTTCGCTCATCTTTTATTTCTTCAGCTGGAAACACCTGCTCTTCGGCCTCATTCTCAGCTTTATTATCAGCCTCTTCTATCAGTTTGTAAAATGTATTCTCTTTTACTTGACCTTCAACTTTCTTTGCCTCCTCATCCTTTTTGCTGTCCAGTTTGATGTTAATGTTGATCTTTTGCTGCACTTTCACGTTCACCCCTCCTTCCCAGGCGTTCTCTGCTGTGAGTGGCTGGGGCTTCCACGTAGCTTTCTTCGGTTTTTCCCTTTCTAACACTTTGGGGAACAGGTCCAAACTTGAGGAGGGCTGGATGAGAATATTTTGTCTTTGATTTTTGGAAGTTTCCTCAGTTTTCTGCTTTCTGCTCTTGTCCGACCTTGAGTCTGGTGATCGGCTGCGTCCAGATTGTCTGCTCCCATCTTGCCGCTTCCCTTCACGCCTCCTTCTGTCCTTTTCTTTATCCAAGACTTTTTGATCTTTCTCTGTCCTTTTATCTTCACCTTTACTCTTTAAATGTTTATCTGTCTTTTTTGGGGGAGACTTCAGACAGTCATCAGTGTTTTGTTTCTTACTTTCCCTCACCTTGTTTTGGTTTTCATCCTTGTCCTTGTGGTGAGATGCGTTCAGTGGCTCCTGGGATGCCCGAGAGCAGTTATCGCTCAGAGGGGAATTGCTGTCACTAAACGACTGTGTGGGGGTTGAGTGGCTGTCGCTGTAAGATGAAGAGGAATGGCTGTGGCTATTGCTGGAGCTTCTTTCAGATTGGGACTGTGAAGTTAGACTGTCGCTAGAGGGAGGTGATCGCCCCCTGTGGTGCTGGGGAGAGTTGGGGGGCCAGTGCGGCTGTGGAGGGGGCATGAGAGGTGGAGGGGGCATCTGGTGAAAGTGGCTGAAGTAGCTGTTAAAATACTTCTCGCACCAGTCTTTGTACTCTTGTTTCCAACGCAGGTACATGTCTAAACTCCATTCTGGGGCTTCTTTTGACCTATGTGAGCTTTCCCTTCCCTTTGATCTGCGGCTGCTGTTGCGGCTGCTGTGTGGGGACGTGTCTGTGCGATGGCGGCCATGATGGCGGCTCTTGTGGTGATCTGCTGGAGATCTTGACCTGTGTGGAGAACGTGACCTCGAAGGTGAGGTTGAGGTGGGCGAGTGAGAATGTTTGTAGCTGTGGCGAGTGTGTGAATGAGAGGAGTGAGACCGGCTGGAGAGGCCTCTGTGATGGGACTGAGGGGAATAGGGTCTAGAGAAAAACAAAATAGATTTAAAAAATAATAATAAAATAACTTGAATAATTTTGTGTGTGTAAAGGCATACCTTGCGCTACGGTGGGACCTGGATTGCGAGGGTGATCTACTGGAGGAGCGAGAACATTTGGATCTATGGGACTTTGAACTATAACGATATGATGGTTTGTACAATGATCCTCTAGAAGGGGTCCTAAGAGAAGAAGAAATGTTAATTTTAAGTGATAACAAAAATCACTGGAGATGTGCACAGAATGAAACCCAAAATGAAAACACGAAGGCTCATTTAAACAAATGAGGTCTAAAAATCTGGAGGCATTTTTTCTTCTCCAAATATACAATAGTATGTATACGAAGACATAAGTAGTGAAAGAGTTACCTCTCTTTGTTCCTTCTGTGAGACAGCAACAACTCTTTGGGGAGGAGCGGGGGGATAGAGGTGGAGGTAAAAGTAGGGATGGGAGCTCCCTGGGGGCTGGGCCCAGTAGTCCACAGGGGTGTGGCAGTGGTGAAACCAGGCGGGTAAGTATTCAGAGGCAGCTGTTGCACTGGCAGGTATGTTTGAACATGAGCAGGCGTGATGTTAGGAGACTGAGTGAGTGGGAATGAGGGCGAGGTAGAAGCTGGATAAGCTGAGCTTATTGCAGTCCAGTCTTCACTGGGACAGGTTGAAGTAGATCTGAGGAAACAACAGAGAAGTGAAATAACACAGATGCAGATATACTATTAAACCCACACACATGATCACTGACCTGTCCCAGTGTGGAGGACCCTGCTCAGATTGAGTCGTGGAACCTTTGGAATTGAGTGGAAAACATGTAGCATCACAGTGTTTAACAACAACAACAACATATACATATACATATATATATATACACATATACATATATATACACATATATACATATATATATACATATATATACACACATATATATATATACACATACATACATATATATATACATACATATATATATATACATATATATATATATATACATATATATATATATATACATACACATATATACACACACACATATATACACATATACACATACATATACATATATATATATATATATATATATATATATATATATATATATATATATATATATATAATATATATGTGTGTGTGTATATATGTATATATGTGTGTGTATATATAGATAGATAGATAGGATATATATATATATATAGAGAGAGCGAGATAGATATATAGATATATATAGATAGATATAATTTGCACCATAACACACCATTTGTGAATTTTCTTCACTGACAATGGCAATGAAACCTATTCAGACTCAGATTCTCTGTCACTTACCGGAATTAGTTTCGTCTGTCACTGCTTGAGTAACTGAGGTAACCTGAAATGAGAATAGAAAATGGTTGACTTAACACATGTGAACAACATTCATCTGATATTTGAATGTTTTAGTTCTTACAAGTGGTATAGACTGAGACAGAGAATCACAGGTGTCTGCTTCTGAAACCAACACAGATGGGCTTGCTATTGGAGAAGAGTCTGTCTTCAGGTCAGCTTCTCTGAGGAAACATCATAATATTCCATCAAATGGTGATTGGTCTAAAGGCTTTGTGCAATAAAACTGCAGGTTTCTGCAAAATTCCCAAGGGCTTACTTATGTGACGTTTCATCACTGGTTTTCACAACAAGGGAGGTGCTGGATGAGCTGGGGGGTGAGTCAGTACTTGTAATTGTTTGCAAGTCTGCTACCTGCAAAGAAACAATATATTTGAATAAAGTCCACTATTTAGTGTTTCTTAAACACAGGGTACAAATTGTAATTACAAAGTGGAATATAATAATTATGCTTGGACCATAAGACTTACCTGTGACTTGTCAGGTTGGCTCTGAGGTGGTGGTGTGGGGGCAGGACTTGGTCTAGGAGTGCAATCCTGAGACCGGGAAGTGCTACATGTATTTTTAAGACTTTGGGTAGAAACCTGCTCCTTTGTGTAATTATTCACAGCCTGGGTACAAAGGGAACAAATATAGACAGTGAATAAGACATTTTTAGTAACGGTACAAAGATTAAACAAATAATCAAGTAATCACCTGCCGCAGAAATCTATTGGCTATGAGCGTATCAGGGGAGACGTCTGGTTGGTTACATGTTGGGCAAACGTGGTCCTCTGAATCCAGCAGAGCAGAGCGGATACCTGGATGATACACTGGGGTTAACAGAGCTGCAGCACTATTAAACTTTAGGGATGATGATGGATTTTATGAGCAGATACCAATACCCAGTATTAAGCATGCTATGACCAAGAACTGATATCTGCCAATACCAGTGTTTAGTTAAAAAATCTAAAGGCCTACAAATAAAACTGACCTTAAGTTTAAGTACAGCTCAGAAATGTAACTTTTCACTTTTGTAAAAATAATAACAAAATGTATTCATGTGTAATAAAAAATTATTTGTTACATGACTGATTAAACATACAACCATATTTTAGCGTGTTTCTTCTATTTCCATTTTCACTCATGAGTCTGTTCAAAATAATCTGATGCACTGAGGACAAACTGGGAATGACACGGGCACACAGATTGGGTCAGCACTGGTATCGAATATCGATATAAAATGTCAATCCCGAACCACCAATATCAACACAAAAACAATCAAAGACACTCGAAAAGATAGATCACCCATCCCTACTTTATATATCGGCATACTTGTAACTTACAGTCATCGCAGTAGCTGTTCCCACAACACGGTATAACCACTGCGTCATTGAGCAGGTCTTTGCAGATAAGGCACAGGAGTTCATCTGGAATAACTGAGTCTGAGGGATCTTCGGCTGGAGACTCCTGAGTGGGGGGCTTCTTTTTATCAGCAGCATAGAATTCACTGTTAAATAAAGTACACTTGTATTTAAGTCATCCTGAAAATAAATAAGATAGGCTAGTGCTGTTTTGGTGTCCTCACGCGTCAATGGCTGGAATTGCATAGTGTCCAGTGTTGGTAAGCATAGCGCCCTTAATGCTGGGATCATCCACTTGTACCATGAAAGAGCGAGGGATCCCTGTGCTCTTCTTAATCTTCATGGCAGGTTCAACATTTTTATCCTGTAATCAGTCGATCAAATTACTGCATTGTTCCCCAAGGGACAATAGGACAGAAGTAGTATAAAAAAAGCACATTATCATCTTTATGCAATTACATAAAGCCATGATAAAAATCTGGACAGCACATTTCAGTTCAAGTTTAAACTGGTTTTGTTCATACCAAGCTCACGGGGCAGTTTCTGATGTGATGTTCACTGGATCCGCAGCGGTAACAAATGTAGTTTGCAGGAAGTGGGGCACCGTACTTGTAGCTTTAAAAAGAATAATCATGGATACATTAATATTTCAGCAACAGGAAAAATAAAAGATTAATATTTAAATGTGTCATACAGAGAAAGCTAGATATAAAGAAAACCCTGCACACATTTGAGAATGAGAAAACTCACTTTGAGCTGTCATAGAAGGACTGGCTCATCATGGTTTTGATCTTATCGTCTTCTGAGTCGTCTGTACAAGCGATGTTAGCCATCTGCGCACACACATATGACATGTGTAAAGAGGCTAAGGTCACAGAGGAGGAGCAGGGTCATTCAAATAGTAGAGTAAAACATACCTTTGAGAAAAAGGGCAAGACACCTGACGCTTTCTGACCTTCCATGGGCTAGAATTGAACATAGTGTTATTGAAAGCTCCAAACACTGTACACGACAAGTTGGGAGAGACGCTGTACAAACTTATTTTTATAAATCACACATTTATGGCCTAAGCGAACTGTGAAATGGATATATAAAAAATGTGTCACTCCTGAATAGAGCAAATATAAAATAAAATCTGATTTGAACAGTAGTTTGGACTGTGCACTAATGTTGTGTTTGTACAGCTAGAATGTGTAAATCTAGGGATGTGAGAAGTGTCATCAGATGTTCTGTTCACATATACAGTTCTGTATTTCTATGTCCACTTTCTATCTTATTTTTATCTTCAGAATACAGTTTGACTTTACAGAAAACACATACAACAAATGTCTTAAGAAGCTTTATATAAGCAACTTTATTGATAAATAAACACAAGCAAAGCATATATAAGAATAGTCCAAAAGGACTGAGACAGGCCTGCTGAGAAATCAGAGAAAGAGTTAAGTCATGGACAGTCAATTTGACAGCAGCATGCACAGAGCTCACACTAAAGAGGCCCAAGAGGCCTACCCATTCTTATTATACCCCAGAGCTTTAAACAGACAGTGGTTTGTGTTTGGTGTAGATACCAGTATTTCTTGAACCTTAGGTGGTTTTATCAGCTTTGAATGGAAGGGCTGCATGATACTGCTGACCCGCCCAAGTGACCTCCCACAGATTCTACAGATAGCACAAACTACGGTCTGATTAGTTTGCAGTTTTTAATGTTTTTTTCTATAAATTGATTACATTCTAATTACTGTAAAACAAAATTCACAAATACATGTTTTTTTTTTTTTATTGCAATGTTGGTGATGTTTGGGATACGTACTGATCTGAAGAATCCATAGCTGGAGTTAGAGGCCTCTGGGCGTTGGCTGAAAGAAAAAAATATAACATTTTGTAGAGGGTAAGATAGAAGAATAGATTAACTCCAGTTTCATGATGGGGACATTCTTTTGAATATAATTTGATCCTTAAAATGTTCATAACCATGATACATAAGTCTTTTAAGCAGGCACACAGACCACACTGCATGGTGCTGACAGGGCAGGTCACATAACTCCTAGTTTGTTCCAGTGAGGTCTACACACCAGCCCATAGAATGCAAACAGCTCTACTGGTTTCAGGTCTAAGCCTAGTCCTTTTGTTCACTTCTGTCTTTGCTGTCACTCTCTTCCTGTCTCCCTTTCAGTTTTGGAAACCCCATGGATTCATTATTCATTATTATTATTATATCTTTTATTGGTGCAAACTGTTTAGTCATATGCCATTCCAGAAACATGAACCATGGTATTTAGGCATTAAGGCTGCTCTGCTGATTTAAGGAGAGATTTTTCATGACATCAACTTACCTGTTGCTGGCACTTGAGCTGGACTTTACTGGACGTGAAGGGACTCTGCGAACAATGACCGAGGCGCCTTTGGGAATTGGGCTGTCATCTTCTGTGTATTCTGAGGCACAAACAGTACAGTTTACGTTTGCTTTTTGGAAAGAAACATTGCATTATAATAACACAGACACATTCTTAGGGTTATTATGACATATATCTAAATAGCAGCTGCTAGTGTTGGCCTTGGCCCACACTCCATCATTATGGCTGCCCTCTGATCCAATCATCCATCTGCTATTTTTATCCCACACTTAAACACCACTTTACGCGGAGGCACACAGCCTTGCCAAAAGCGTGTCCTTAAGTGCACGAAGTGTTGAATGTGGTCTTTTCATGAGTCTGGCCGTGCTTTTCGTCCCATCTTTCACTTGAACCGGTGACGCAGCCTCTGGAGCAAACAGACAGCTGTCAGCCTGACCTCTGACCACGTGCTTTCTCCAAACTTCCACCTGACAGGCTCCGGTTTACCTTAAATACACCCAAATAACACGCAGTACATAAAAGACTGTAGAAAGACGTTATATTTTACCTTCTTTGGTCTGTGCGTTGGCGATTTGCAGGTCACAGTCCGCAGCACGGAGCTTCTCTCGGCTCATTATCAGCCTCTTGAGTTCACTCAGCGTGATGTTCACGCCATCAAACACCACCGTGTTGTAGCTGAGTTTTGAGGAAAATTTATAATGAACATGCGTCATTTTCTACAAGTCAAACCTCTTCTTATAAGGTCCGAGCCGAGCCGACAGGTGACAGCTTTTCTGGCTGTTGCTATGGAGTTTAAAGTTAGCAGCCCGCGTTAGCAGCGTCGAGGCGACACGGGTTTGTCGCTAACAAGCTAGGTCTTCAATTAACTGTCTTTTAAAGTGGCAAGCCGGGGATGACATCTCCCAACGCCAAAGGTAATAGTTAAAAAGACTTCATACAGAACATCGAAGTTAGTGCGGACCCTGGTCTAAAGTTTAGTTTGTGCAAAATGTTGCAGTAAATCCGAATAGTTCCCTGACAGAAACCACCAGCTGTTTCCAAAAGCAACGGCTCGTCAGCACAGAGCACGCACCAGCGCGTGTGGCGTTTAAGAGCGCCACACCGTCTGACTTTACAGCACCACCGTTAGATTACTGACTCTCTACAAAGCTTTTATCAAACAATTAACCTGGCTCAATATATTTATTTTTCCACCAAGTCACAATAAATTATATATACTTAAAACTATGCAGTTATGAACGCATGCAAATTGTTTATTGAGCTATTATAAATGACAATTCTTTCTACTTTTCCTCTTTTTTTAATGTGCTTGAAGGCAGCATCTTTCGATTACTCCTGCACAGCACCTGTTAGTGGACAGGGGCAGATGTTTGTTGTACATTTGTGGGAACTACAAATATGAAAACCTTCTTAGAATTTACCGATTGAGTTGAGTTTAATCTGTTTATGATGGTTTGCTTAACTTGATTCAGACTGCGTTGTTAGTTAGTTTAGTTAGTTTTAAAGCCTATGTGTAAAGTTGCCTAAACAAAGGCCACATTTCTATATGATCTGCCTAAATGACTTTAGACCATTAAATAGATTTGTTGTAATACATTTGTTGCAATAACAAAACAAGAGTATTTCCGGCACCGCCGCGTTTATCCGGTAGAGGGAGTGTGAGCACCATTTATGATGTTAGGCTCTGCAGCATGGGTCTGCAGTGAATCATTTTTACTTGAGGTGAGTTTAAAGTGGTCTTCTTGACATCCTACATGACAGTTGATATTTAACATGGAAAAATTCAAAGTGGGCTGTGCAATAGCAGCTTTCTGTGTTAGCCAATATCAAATCAAAATCATGGTTCATTTTTAGTAACCATTTGTATGCTTTTTGAGTAAGGAAATCCGATATTGCATTGTTTTACTGCAAAAAAAAAAAAAAAAAAAAAAATACTACTAATAAATAATAATAAGAAGAAAAAGAAATGGAAATTCCTGTAAACCTATATCTTGGCTTGGTTTCATTACCTGCTTTCCCCCATGTGGACATTATGTTTCATGTAATACAGTGGAACGCAATGGAAAGCAGTACATCTGTGATCACCGAGGAGGAACACAGTGATGGGCCCTACCAGAAAAGTTACACAGGGCACCTTTAAATGTACAACATCACATAAGCTTGGGCAAATCCAACATTTTTTGCTGTCTAATATTTCTTGTACAGTGCTTAAAAGCGTTAAAGGAGAACACAGGGCTAATACTATCTGAAAAGAGGAACACGATAGAATGTTTGAGGAAGTCTCTCTCTCTCCTCTCCCTCTCTCGTTTGCTCTACTCAGAGGAGGGATTTGCCCTATCTTCCCTGGCTTAGCTCACCATTGTGAAAGCAGTGGGAGGATGGAGGGATGCGGGAGGAGAGAGAAGAGGAGGAGGAGGAGGAGGCTGAGAGGATGAAAGGGAACCAGCTGGTGCCTTTAAACTGGTGTTCTTCTCCTGATGGTGATATGATACAGGACATGGCCTGTGACTCAGCCATCAAAGAGCCTCGTGGAAACAATGATATCTGGGCTGCGGGTGCACATGTGTGGTTGCATGTGTGTATGGCGTGCTGTGTATTGGGAGAGGGAGGTATCATAATGTGTCTTTCTGTCATAATAATAGGATTCTTGCTAACTGATACTGTAAGTGACATGAATACAGAGATTGGTGCTACAGTGAGGGATGTTAGGAAGTGCATAATTCTGATTGGCGTTAAAGGAGCTGTAGGCAAAAATGTGTGCAAAAATATTGAAATATCGGTATATCCTATCATTTAATGTGATTGTATAGTGTCGATGTCATGGGCTGCTGTATCGATATATCGCCAAGAGTGTTTTTTATTAAATTATTTTGTTACAGTGCTACAGTTTTGTTGCTTGTTTAGTGGACACATTTGACATTTTCACAGTTTAGATTATTAAAATGGGTGTGTTTCATATGAACTTTGCACAAGATGTGACTTAACAAAGACTTCTGGAGTCACAGCCATGATTTAGCCTTTATTTTTTATTGAACCGTATCAAACTGAATTTAAATATATCGTATTGAATCATATCGAATTGTAAGCTCACTGTACCAACCACATGATTTTTTCAGATTTAAAAACATGAAAAATAGAACAAGTTCATTTTAAAACATGTCATGTGATTAGTTTACAAATTAATTTCACAACTTTTAGAGGTCACTGCAGAGTCTTAACAACTAGCATGCTAACAGCGCAGTACTTCTCAGTTAAGGAAGGATTAAAACCCTTTATAATCTCTTTTTAACCAGATACAATACATCTGTACTGGGATTCAGCCCTTTTAAATGATTGAATCTATAGTAATCCAATATTTTTTATGTACTTGAACTGCAGATTTTGGAAGACACTAGACCTGTTTTTGTGTTCTTGAGCAAGACACCCATATTTCCCATCTTTGAATGAACAAATGTGAATGTGGGGATTGGTTGTAGTTGGAGGGGCTCATGACGCAGATTAATCACCTTTGAATGTCCAAACTATGCTAAATTCAATTGAATGCACTATTTTGAATATATAGTGATATAGTATATTTTGTGTCAGTTGATGCTATCTTCTAGCCTGATTCATCTGCCGGGTTCACTTCGTGTAAATCATCTGACCTTGCAGCATTAGTATTTGTTCGTCGACGGTAGGAGAGTACTTTTTTAATTTAACCAGTCACTGCTATTTGGTCAAGACTTATGTAATGCACCAGAGCACTCAGTGGGGTCCAAGTAATAGGCAGCTTCACAGCTCTGTGCTCATTGGCCAGTGCGCAGTCTACAACTTCTGGGGTTCTTGCAAACCGTCAAGTGTAGTCCGATTCCTGACCTAGTCGCTGGAGAAAAATGAAATTGAGCGGAGCCACTAGGTGGCATTAGCCTGGCTAGCTGACTTCTGAATCTCAATCTATATTGGCATTAATCCATGTTTTGTCATGAAATAAAGGGCCGCAGAATTTGCATAAAACCCCATAGAGTCTGCTATGGCCATACACTATTGCAAATCAAATCAAAATGCAAATATGTGTTATGGAATAATTATCCATATTTAAGTTCTCCATCAAAATATAATCTGTTTATTTATTACCTTTTATGTCTACACCAAATTATTATTGACATTTAAAAGCATCACAGGCCTTAAAGGGTATCTCAGCAGGATAATACTGATTAATTTTATTTAAGAATTCCCCAAACTTTTGTATTTTTCTAATTCCAAATGTCAGCCACTCTTGCGTACATCTTACCTTTCAAAGATGGCTGATTGCTTATATTTGCTTGTTAATGAATTGGCCTCTTGTCGTGCAATACACTGCTCTAGAAGAGTTTTTGTGACAGCCTCTTCTGCCTGCTCTAATCCTCTCTCTCCTCTACCCTCTTTCTCTCTCTCTTCTCTCTCTCTCCCTCTCTTCTTCTCATCTTTCTGCTCCAGCAGCGTTCACAGCTCCCGGGCATGTTTTTTTTTTCTTTTTTTCTTCTTCCTTTTTTCTTCACACTGCAGATGGCTGTAGTAGTAGCAACTCTCCTCTCCTCAAGATGTTGCGTTCACTGACACACATGCAGCCTGGCATATACTGACTGGCTGCTCTCCCTTTGTAGTGCTATTATTCGACGTGCTGCTTGCTCGTCTAAATAAATAAATAAATAAATATAAAAATACATGTATTATTTATTTTATTTTATGAGAAATTCCCACTGAGATTGTATCCCATCATCAAGGCAGTCCTAAGTACACAGTTTAAAATCAAAAAACATTTACAATTAATAAAAGATTTTAAATATTAGTTGACCTGTATTGGGTGTAATCCAGAATATAAACTTCTCCACCCCAAAATTGGACAAAACAAGATTTGGACATAATTTAGAATATGGTTCCATGTACAGTTATTTTAATATATTTCACTGAATACATTTGGCGTTATTGTTTTTGAAACTACAGCTTCTCAAAATGTGAACTCATCCACCATGTAAGTCTGTGCAGTTAATTGAATTTTCATCATGATTTCGATTTCCAAACTCACATAATCGATCTGAAACGATAAAACTTATACATTTATTTTATATAAATAAGTCTATTTATTTTATTTTTAAATACAGAGATTGTAGAGCAGCTGGATATATAGATTATTTTGGATACATTTATGTTTTTCTATGCCATATTTCATGTTCAAAGTATATTTTATTCATTTTATGTTTTATATGTTGCAAAACTGCTCTAATATTTGTAGCCTATAATTATTATCAATTTGAAAGTTTTGCATAAATTATCAGTAACAAAGTGTCCTGAATAAATGCATTGTGTAACTAAAAAATAATCGTGATTTCAAAATTGACCAAAATAATTGTGATAATGATTTTTTCCATCATCGAGCAGCTCTACCACTGTGACCCTTTTTTACCCAATCCAAATGCAAAATGTCACGAGACGATTTTTCTCATGTGTGCACAATCTTTTGACAGTTTTATCTCACAAGATCTTGCGGCATGAAATCTGGTCCCCTCCCTAAAAACATAGAGAGATATTCTGGCAAAGATAGATAAATAAATACATTTCCAGTATGTTGGAACGTGTTTGATGATCAGTGATTCTATAGGAGTTCAAACAGAAGAGGGGGGAAACAGAAGTCATTTCCGTGCCGTGCATCTTTAGTGGAGCCATGTTCTCCTCAGCGCACACAGAGCTTAGGTAGAGATGGATAGTAACAGCAGGTCTAGTCCCACTGAGCCTCATTCAGTCGCAAACAGCTGTTACATCTGACACCCTTTTCATATTAGCGTGCGCATGTGTCAGCTGCAGACAGATCTGGGTATTCTAACACAAAATCTCTCTTATGTTTATCAAAAGTATTGTCATGTGGATCCCATTTCTAGCACTTCAGAATCTGGAATTGTTCAAAGATTCAAAACCTGTTCTGGATTTTAAAAGATTTTCTATTTAAAGGTACACTATGTAACTTTTCTGGTGGTGCTTGTTTTCACTCAGATGTTATTGCTTTGCCTGGACTGTGGGCTATATAAA